TGTGCAAGACTGTGTATCAGAAATTCTCTTTTAAATTATTTTGTGATATTGTTGTTGAATTCAATTTTATGTTTTAAGTGCGAAGAACGTGATATTTAATAAATAAAGTTAACACACAAAATGTTAAAAAAACACCCTTTTGGGGTGTAATTAAAATCTGAAATGCTTTCAGAATTTTGTTTCTTTTTCCTTTTTCACAATTTTTTCTCGTGTGTTATTTTTCATGAAAAAAATCTGCAAATGACTTTTGATTTAATAACAAAGAGAATTAGGCCACAGTTCATTTTTGTGTACAAAATTATTTTTGCTTTTAAGTTAATGGTGCTTCATATCAACATAATACTGCTCGCTAAAAATTAAACACTTCAAAAATCTTTTGTATGCTGCTGCTCATGGAACCTTGTAAAATTTCTTAATCTAAATTTGAAAGGTGTAATTTTGATATCTGGTGTACGTGACAAATTAATTAATGCATGTACAACAAATTAATAAATAAATGCTGATGTACAATGTATAATCTTTAGCTCCTTTTTACAGTTGTCAAGTATTTTAAAATCTTTCTGAAGCTTTCTTTCATAAATTTTCTTTCGAACACCATTAATAACAATTTAGTGAGATTTGAACCACTTTGAATGTTTCATTAAATTTAATTGCCAGATGAGCAAGTCCATGAAAAGCAAACAGCCTGATCTGCTCACAGCCAGAGTGATACTGCTCCACGATAACGCACATCATAGCTCTCCAAGGTCACACAAAGTATAATGGCCAAGTTCTAGTGGGAGCAGCATAAGCATCTGCCCAGAATTGTTGCACTGTAATTTCCGTGTGTTGGTCTCCTAAAAACATATCTTGGAGGGAAGTGCTGTAACTTGAATGACGAACTGAAAGAGATAGTGGAGGACTGGCTTCTGTCACAACCACAGGAACTCGTGGAGCGGGAAATCCATTGGCTTGTGAAAGAGTAGGATACTTGTGCTCATACCTGTGGTTATTACTTGAATAATGACTTCAATTATACCCATAGTGTAATTTCGAACTTTTTCATTTGAGCAACATATATGCAGAAAGTTATTTTCCTATTTTGTTACTACATGCTACCATTCTTTTTCTTTTTCCTATTAGCATTATTAAGGCATTGTATTTATGAGATATGTATTTGTTATTGTGTTAAGGATTCATTAATTTGGGGAGCACAATTATTTTCCTCTTATACTGGCTGACATACTGCAGTCTAAGTGATATAGTTTTATTGCAAAGTTTGATAGTTTTTATTGCATATTTCTTCCTTGACATATAGCAGGTTACAGTTCTGTCTCTAGAGCACATTCATCAGATCTTTCTCCGACTGAATATGTCTGGTCTGTGAAAGGTTCCATAGACTTGATAAACCAATTTGCTATTATGCCACTGGAAAGCAGAGGGAAAGTTCACCAAGGGATTTGCTGCTAAGAATTTCGTCCTCTGCCCTGTGTACAGGAAATTGAGAAACATGTGTTAAGAAAAAACGTTCTCTGACAAAACGTTTCTTCTTTGATGTTTCGCGATAATTTAAACTTAGCTCAAAATAACTAATCTATTAATTAATTTTCTTGCACAAAAAAATATTTTCTTTTCCTTTAAAGTTTAAAGAAATTTAAAACAATATTTGTTTTATGATCTCTTGATAAATGTGAACTTCGACACCAGCTTCGAGCTTTTGCGCTTTGGCGACAGATATTTTGCACATGCGCAGCTGTTTCCCTGTACGTTGGGAAGGAGCCACTCCTGTTGCGGAGAAGTTTTACTTCTTAACAATACTTCTTTTACTCTGGCAATTACTTCTTTTAACTCTGACAACAAATTATAGTTGCCTGTTCTGCATTATTCCAAAATGCCAACCAAAGTTTCGTCACTTCTGTGCTTTGCTAAAGAGCAGTTATTGTTGCTCATATTGTTTATATGCAGCTCATATTATTGACCTTTTAATGCTGTTCATAGCATATTTAGCTTGTCTGATGTACCTGAAATTTTAATGATTCGATATTTTTACTATTAAGAAATCTGTCAAATGCACATAATTTTGCTATCTTTTGTCTTTGGTGGTGTTTCAGTTTTAATGCACTACAGCACTACAGTTCACTTAATTTTCTTAAAGTTTGTGGTTTATGTATATCGTATAGGTAAAAAATTGATGCATTTTATTCATTAAAGAAACATGCATTATATTTTAAATTCACAATACAGTACCTGCCACTTATTAAAATCACTTCCGTTCAAAACATTTGAGTTTATTAAGCAGCTGAGTTTAATATTTGATAATTTGTATATTGCAAATCATGTTTTAAACTTTTCAAGTAAAATAATAGCTAACAATTAACTTAATAATTAATTCTAAAATAATAGTTAATTAAACTATGTAAGCAATTTTGAAATTCATTTTTATAATTATGTTCTTGATGAAGTTTCATATCTTACAAACAGTTGTTTTATCTCTTGTTTGTTTCATATTATTCATCAACAGTTTTTCAATTGTATTCTCAATTTTGTAAAATTGCTGGTAGTTTTTGTGATCAGCGGGTTTTCATTTCAAAAGAATTTGCTGTGCTTTTGTAGGTTTGATCAATGTTGGCGTGTCATAATTCTTAATATCATTTTTGCCGTTAGTTTTGCAGTTTTTTAGTCAGTTTTTACACTCATTGTTTCAGTATTATTGTAAACAGACACATATTGTAAAAATTAATCTTTGTAACTTACCTACTGCAGAAAACATTAACTAGAGTTTGTGATTCCTCTGGGGCTTTTTCTACATAAAAGCCACATTTTTCGAAGACAGTTTTTAACTCATTTTAAGAGATTAACTCCCTGCAATGTCTATAATATACGTAGGTAAGTTGAAAAATAGGTTTCCCCTGTCGACTGTGGTCAGAGTTGTGTATGAAAGTCAAAAAATAGAATGAGACATTAAAGATATGACATACCTTTATTTTTCCACATAGGTACCAAGTACATTGAGACAGTTGTCATATCGCTTGATAAGCTTCAAAAAGCCCTCCAGGAAAAAATCAGGGCTTTGCATATGGAAGAAGCGTTGAACGGCTATGGGCGAAAGACAACACAGCAGGAAAGCGCGCAAGTCACCAATACACCATTGGGTAGAGGTCGCTGCAAATCAAGCTAATGGCGCTGTTGCAGTGCCTGCGCAAAGCGGAGACCAGCCTCTCATTTGAGCGCTGGTAGGTATGGAGAGAAGGTGCGTTTTGAATTCGTGGTCAAAGGAGGAAGTGAGAGTGGTTATCTGCTATGAATGGGCACATGGAGTATCAGGAACAGAAATTCATAACCGCCTCAAGGAAGTCTATGGGCCAGGTGTGATGTCGAAGCAAATGGTGCGGAGATGGTGTCGCGCATTCAGTGATGGACGTCAGCAAGTGGAGGACATACCAAGAGCTGGACGGACGCGCACGTCCACTACAGATGCAAATGTCAGGAAGGTGGATGACATGATTAGAGCGAACCGGCGTATCACCGTCGATGAAGTAGCGGAAGAACTTGGAATCTCACATGAGCGAGCTCAAAACATCATCCACGACATTCTTCGATACAGAAAAGTGTCAGCACGATGGGTGCCCCGACAATTGACCTTGACACACAAGGAACAATGCATGGGGGTCAGCATGGAACATCTCGTGCATGATTAGAGCGAACCGACGTATCACCGTCGATGAAGTAGCGGAAGAACTTCGAATCTCACATGAGCGAGCTCAAAACATCATCCACGACATTCTTCGATACAGAAAAGTGTCAGCACGATGGGTGCCCCGACAATTGACCTCGACACACAAGGAACAACGCATGGGGGTCAGCCTGGAACATCTCGTGCATTACCATGAAGATGGCAATGACTTTCTGTTTCGGATTGTGACAGGGGATGAAACGTGGGTCCACCATTTCACGCCAGAATCGAAGGCCGCATCTATGGAGTGGAAACATCCGTCATCACCTGTCCGAAGAAGTTCAAGACAACTCCCTCTGCAGGTAAAGTACTCCTCACAGTTTTCTGGGACGCCCAAGAGTTTTATTGCTGGACTTTTTGGAGGTTGGAACCCATCAATGCTACGCGCTACTGTGACACCCTGTCGAAATTGAAAGAGGCGATTCGGAAAAAGCGCCCTGGCCTTCTCACATCTGGCGTTCTGCTGTTGGATGACAATGCCAGACCACATTCGGCGACGGCAACGCAAAACCATATTGCAACTCTTGGTTGGGAGTGCCTACACCATCCGCCATACAGTCTGATCTCGCACCAAGCGACTTCCATCTGTTTCCTGCTTTGAAGAAAAATCTCGGGGGAAGGCGCTTTGGAAGCAATACTGAAGTGAAACAAGCCATTCAACGCTTCTTCCATATGCAAAGCCCTGATTTTTTCCTGGAGGGCTTTTTGAAGCTTATCAAGCGATATGACAAATGTCTCAATGTACTTGGTACCTATGTGGAAAAATAAAGGTATGTCATATCTTTAATGTCTCATTCTATTTTTTGACTTTCATACACAACTCTGACCACAGTCGACAGCGGAAACTTATTTTTCAACTTACCCTCGTACTTATTTCCATCATTCTTGCATTTTCACAAAATTTTATTTTGCTCATAATTTTTTTAACATCTTTTTTGTAAAGATATTTGAAAGCTTTAATAATACCGTGGTCTAAAGGCTGAATGTTAGAAGTCGTATTTACAGGAAGAGATACTTATGTTGGATAAACTATGAAAGCTCTGAGTATTAAGTTGGATAATTTTGCACTGAAGAATCAGTCATTTGCCATTTTGGGTTTTATAAGTGGCAGAGATAAGTTTAATAAATAATGGTTTTGCTATTGATTGGTATATATTTGCTTTTGTTCATAGAAATTTTAACATTATAAGTGACTGAGTTTAATAAGCATTGGGTACTGTTATATTGGGTATTTGTTATTAATATTAACTGAATATGAATTTAAGATGTTTCTTAATTTTTATTTCAGGTGCAAGCCTAAGTACAAGTTACTTCATTTATAGGTACTTTATATTTTATGACTTGATGCAAAGTATGCACTGAATTTTGCAACAAATTAGGAATAGTTGCTGGAATTTATTTGTTTCATAATTTATTTAGTTTATTTTTGTATTTTATTTCATATCCTACAAATTTTTTCATATTTTATACATGTATTTAAGAATAAATCGAAGTAATAATGTAAGTTTTTTTTAATGAGCATTGTAAATAAATACATGCCTTTTGCACACATTGAATATTCTCATTTGTAATTTAGTTGATAATATCAATAGATGAAAAGAAGATAGGGTAAATTATTCTGTTTTTAGACAAACTACGAGTACTTTCCATATGTATGAAATTATTATTTCATTATAAAGGAATAATAAAATAAAGTGTTAAGAAAATACAAATTTTTATGAAATACTGCAGTTTTTGATAACTTTGAAACTGTATTTTTAAATATGTTCAAAACTTCATGTATGTGTTTGTAATTTTATTACAATTTTACAGACTTCACATAGGGTTTAAAACATGAGAAGATTTTGTATGAATTTTGGGATTTGTAAAACTGTATGGATTCTAGTAAGTTGATTTTTAAAATTTAAGAATCACAATAGTTTATATCATTTGTGTTAAGATCATTTGTATTTCGACTAGAAATACTGTCACTGCAGATCACTTCTATTATATTTCAGTTTCAGGAACAGAACTCGTTCAGTGACAAAACTATCTGTTAAGAGATGTTTGCATTTGGTTTTCATGGTTTGCCTACTGCTATGATGATACCTATTACATATGCTAAAGCTCAAAGTTAAAGGTATAACAAAAATGTTGAACTGCTGTTGGATTGTTTATGAACTGAAGATTGCCTAGAGAAATGATAATCATGTTGTATGATATGGCATTCTTTCAGATGTGTTTGCAACTAATAGAAATTTACAGTACCTTGATATCATCAATGATAGATATGAGGTAGCCTTTCAACCATTCAATCTTTTTTGTTCAATAATGTTTTGAAAAGTCAGAGACTTGTTAAGATGATTGTCCTCTAGAATATAGTATGGATTCTTCCCGGTCCTCATGATCAAGAGAGTTTCGTGCAGAAATTTGTGCAACCAGTCACCTCTTTTTCTTTTCAAGACGATCCATAATACTGTTCATTTGCAAGAAGGTTAGAAAGGCGGCCGTGTAATGATATTTTCATCGACAAAATTTGTGTATCCAAGGAAGAAATTTCACGAGCCGTCAAAACCTCTTCGTTGGCCAGAAATTGTTCCCGCATCTTGTGATATATATTATAACCCGCACATTTTGAAAAATCAGAGGCTTTTAGGTAAACGACTCCTTGGATGATAAAAAATAAAATCTCAAAAGTTTTATATTTGTAAGGAATACTCGTGATAAGCTGGGGACTCCTCATCATGATCTACTCCCCCCCCAAAAAAATTACTCTTTTCTCTCTCGTTCTATTTATATATAGAGAGAGACCCCCCTGTCCCTTCTTCCTTTATCTCTGGACATCCATGGGAATTAAAGGGTGACTGAAAAAATAAAAAGGTCATTGGTTGGTTATTTTTTTCTTTCACTTCCTCATTCCAACCCACTCAAAAAGGGTCATGGAGATAAGATTTCTTGGAAATGGTATATAAGCAAAAACAAAACTGACGTCATAGAGACTATACGTATAAAGAGGCGAGATCATTTCATTTGAGCCATGTCCCTATTAGATATCTTCTCGACTCAATTTATTTTGGGTGTGGAGGATTTGAAGACGCTGACGCAAATTGCCAAGCTGAAAATCTTTTGAGCAAGTCATTGTGCTAAATTTATTCTACATTTACCAGCTGACCAAGTGATCATTTCTTTCAAGCATGTAGTCAAATCATCCGACCTGCTCGTTCAGAATATGAATAGGAATCTATTCGACTCTCAACAAACAAAAGATTGCTCATCCTTCTCTTGGAACCGGGTGCATCAAGCTTTGAAATGTCCCATTCAAACAGACCGGAGATATACAGATTTGCGCGTGAGTCTTCGGTGGAAGAATATTTTTCTCGCGAAAAGATACTTTTCTTTTGGAGTGAGAACTATGGCCGAGGACGAAGTTCTTATCTATCAGACCACAGCTTCTCTCCTTGTCTATTACAAATCATCGTCCCCTAATATCTAGGAAAGAGGTTTCAAAGTGACCAACAGGTTGAAATTTAAGAAATATATTCTAAGACCTTTCAAAAACCATGTAGTCCCTTCGAAGACGCATTATCTCATTATAACGACACAGAAGTGCCTGTTTCTCGTCAATCGCTGCTCGTAGACTCTTTGGAAACAATTGAAAAAGGAGATTCCTTTCCAAACCCCGACTTCGTTTCAAGATTACGAACAGCCTACCTCTCCCTTCCCTTCTTTAGATGATAAGATGAGATGGAAAAAACAGTCATTGCACGAAATGCGATTAGCGGGTATACGGAAAGAAATTGAAGTGATCACGACTGAAGATCATGAAGAGGAGGAGAAAAAATCACCTATTAAGAAATGTATGACTTACTGCAACATGCCTGGCATGGAACTTGGAGATCCGGTCATGAATCCAGAATTCTCTTCTCAAACTTGTCCAGACTGGCAGCCTCTTTTGGACACTCAAACTTGTCCAGAACCTCTCTCAGAATCCTCTTCATCTCAAACATGTCCAGAAATCATGGAGGCAGAACCTCAGCCTGGTCCAGAAGTCATGGAGGCAGAACCTCAACCTGATCCAAAATCTCAAATGTGTCCAGAAATCATGGATCCCCAAACTCGTCCCAAAGAGGCTCAAAAATATTCAGGAAAATCTTTTGAGGATCCAACACTTCCTGCATGGGACAATTTTATGGATTTACAAAGTTTAGTGGATCTTGAAGAAAATAATAGTGATTTGTGGGTAAAAGATTGTGTAGATAAGTTAACCTCGAATGAAACTGAACTGTTATGGAATTGTATCTCTGAAATTATATTGGAAATGTCATAATTTTTTTTAACAAATTGTATCATTGTAATAATAACAATAAAAAATATTATATATACCAATCTTGGTGGCTTTCGAATTCAAAGAGAGAGGGTATTGAGCATTCACTTCAGTTTTCCAAGATTAGTTTGTCCGCTTTTCCCAAAATGGCTACCTAATTCAAAGAGAGAAGGTGTAGAGCTTTCATTTCAGTTCTCCAAGATTAGATGGTCCACTTTTCCCAAAATGCCTTTCAAATTCAAAGAGAGAGGGTGTAGAGCGTTCACTTCAGTTTTCCAAGATTAGGTTGTCCGCTTTTCCCAAGATGGCTACCCAATTTAAAGAGAGAAGGTGTAGAGCGTTCATTTCAGTTCTTCAAGATGAGGAGGTCCCAAAATAGCTACCTAATTCAAAGAGAGATCATGTAAAGCATTAATTTCAGTTCTCCAAGTTAGATTATCCACTTTTCCCAAAATGCCTTCTGAATTCAAAGAGGGGGGGGGATAGCAGACTTCAGTTTCCCAAGAATAGGTTGTCCCAAAATGGCTTTCAAATAATCCAAAAATAGCGAATTCAAAGAGAGATCGTGTAGAGCATTCATTTCAGTTCTTCAAGATTAGGATGTCCCCTTTTTCCAAAATGGTTACCCATTCCAAAGAGAAGTGGTGTAGAGCGTTCATTTCAGTTCTCCAAGATGAGGTGGTCTGCTCTTCCCAAAATGGCTTCCGAATTCAAAGAGAGATCGTGTAGATTTTCAGTTTTCCAAGATGGGGGGGGGGACCTATGATGGAATGACACGAGAGAAAAATACCATCTTGTCATTTTCTGAAGGGTACTGGTGTTCGGATACTTTTGTGACCGACTGTAGATGCTTCTCCAAGATTTCGAATGTCGAAATATTCTCTGAGAATTCATTCAACTTCTTGAATTATTCACACTTGTCGCTCGCGACTAATATGTCATCAACGTAAACGATTATGTAAGTTCTTGCGTTTTTCTCGATTAGTGTGAAGGAACATGGATCAGCTTTTCCTTGAACGTATCCTTGTTTGCGCAGGATTTCAGCTATCTTGTGATTCCAGTTTCTGGCTGCCTGTTTTAGTCCGTAGATACTTTTATTCAGTTTACAGACTTTATTTGCTTCTGAAGCAGAGATGTAGCCTTCTGGTTGCTTCATATATATATATCTTCTTTCAGATCTCCATATAGAAAAGCTGTTTTTACATCGAAGTGATTTACGTGCATTTTCTTTTGAGCTGCCTATTGCCAAAATAGTCCTTATTGTTGTATACTTTACGACTGGTGCGAATGTTTCGTCGTAGTCGTGCCCAAATTTTTGGCAATATCCTTTAGCTACTAAACGAGCTTTATATCTGATAACATTTCCTGAAGCGTCGGATTTTGTTTTAAATGTCCATTTGTTTCCAATTGCTTTCTTTCCTTTTGGAAGATCGACTAGTTCCCATGTTTTGTTTCCTCTTCAGTGCTTTCCATTTCTTCTTTCGTAGACTTTTAACCACAGTTCCTTTTCTTTGGTAGGAAAAATTTGAAGTTCTTCCCAGTCTTTAGGAACTTTGATTTCTTCATTCTTAGCCAGGTATGAGAATCTGTTTGGTGGGATTCCTTTAGTCGTTCTGTGGGATCTTCTCGGTAATAGGGGAATTTTTTTTTCAATGTTGTAGCATTGGGACACTGTTTTCTAGATTTATTTTCTTTAAAAGGCCATTCTATTTCCTCATTCTGATCATTTAATTGACAAGGCATTTCTTCTTTTTTGTTTTCATCGACTATTACACTTCTTCTGATCACGACGTTGTTTGCATGCTTAAGTTCGGTTTTTTATTATTACAGAGCTCGTATGGTGTTTTTTCGATTGATCTTGATGGTAGCCTGTTTTGTAGATAGGTGGCTGGCATTATGGCTTCACCCCAAAATTCTCTTTGAGTCCTGAATCGAGTAGCAGGCATCTTGTCATTTCCATTAAGTATCGATTTTTTCTTTCTGCTCTACTGTTCTGCTACAGTGAATATGCTACAGAGGTTTGATGTTCGATTCCCTCTTCCTTTAAATAGTCTTCAATCTCTTTGCTTGTATATTCTCCTCCATTGTCTGTTCTTAAGACTTTTGGCTTCTTTCCAAATTTGTTCTTCGTCATGGTTACAAATTGTTTTAACCTTGGAGATAGCTTCATCTTTTGTAGCTAGCAGATAGATCGTTGCGTGTATCTCGAATGATCGTCGATGAATGTTATGAAATATTTCTTTCCTCCTAGTGATGTTGTACCGATTGGTCCACAAATATCTGAATGTATCAAGTCTAGAACTGATTTTGCTCTATAGTTGTTTAGCTTGGGATACGGCAATTCAGTCATTTTGCTTCTGATACAGCATTCGCATTCTTTTTTCCTTTTTGGCTTCTCCGTCAATTCTTATTCCGGTTGCCAGGTCATCATTCTTTAGCCTCTTGATTGCTTCATAATTTCTGTGTCCTAGCCTTCTATGCCAAAGATCTATACTATTTTCTCTTCTTTCTGCAGCTTTGCAATTTTGGCTTTTCTTCTTTGCGAATTCAACTACGGTATATAAATTTCCTTCTGCTTTAGCAATTCCTATGGTTTTATTTTTCTTCTTTATTCTGCAAATAATCTTCTTCAAATTCAACTGTAAACCCCTTTCTTTGTAATTTTTCATACGGATATCAATCCTCCTTCTAGGTCAGGAACGTACAGAACATCCACGAGTCTCACTTCTATTTCGTTATCTTCGTCGTCTGTACAGTATAAGTATCCTTCTCCTAGATACCTTCGGACTTCATCTGCGTGCCGTTAGCAATTGTTATTTGCTCAGTTTTGCTTCTATCTAATTTAGTGAAAAAGTTTATTTTATCGGTCATATGACAAGTAGCTCCTGAAGCAATTGACCAGTTTGAGTTTAGAAATTTTCTTTCTCTGGTGATTTCGAAAGTGTAATTCTCAGTCTTCTTATGTTTCTTATTTTTGTTTAAATCTTCATGTTTATCCTCGTTTACAGCAACTTTCGTTTTCTGTTTATTTCCGTAATTTCTTTTATTCGCTTGCTTGTCGTTCTTGAAAAATGAGTTACTTTCGTTTTTGTCAATTTCTTTGTGGTTATTTAAGAATCTGCATTCCTTTTAGAAGTGTCCTAATTTTATGCAATAATTCCATTTTTTTGATTGAAATGCTTGAATTTTGTGTTAAAATATGTTTTGAAGGCAGTTGTTTCATTTGTTTGCGTGCCTTCTTTTCTTCTCAGGCATTCGTTGATGAGTTTCGTTTGTACGTCTTCCAATGTTAGTTCTTCTCGGCGAGCTTCTGAAGCTGTAATAGGATTTTCGTAGCTTTTTGGTAAGGCACTTAGTAAGAGTGCTGCAATGTGACTATCCTTTATTTCTTCACCGATTTCAAGCATTTTGTTGACGTGTTCTTCGAGCTTGTATTCGTTTTTTGCTTTTAACATATACAGCTTTCTGAGAAAGTAAAGTTTACTAGAAAGATTCTTTCTTTCATGAATTTTATTTAATTCATTCCATAGTTCTTTGGTTGTTGTTTTATTTCTTATGTGTACAATTTGGTTGTCTTCTATGAGTAAACTAATGGTGGATTGTGCTTGTTCATCTCGTTTTGTCCATTCGGCGTTTATTTCCTTTGGTGTATTATCAGCGATTAAATCCCATAAATTTTCCTTTTTCGGGATCATTTCAAGTTTGTATTTCCATATTTGATAGTTGTTATTGTTTAGTTTCATGATCAAATATTTATTTTCGCAGCTAGTAGCCATTTCTGCTTCTGTATTTCGAATGCGCAGTACACAACTATGTAGTCTTATTACGCTTTTGAAGACAGGCTTGGCTTTTCCTTTTTCGGATTATCCAGTGTTAATTTATGGCATAGAGTATCTTTTCTGTTTGTATTTTTTATTCTTCATAGCTTATCTCGATATATTTTATGCGTATAGTTGAAGTAAACATGCGCTCAGTCTCATAATCTAATGTTGAAGGTATGCGTGGTTCATTTGTTTACTATTGCAACTATAGAAAAATAACGCTAATTTGAGATGAAGATGAATAAAACAGAATTAAAGTTCTTACCTTAATGAAACGTAATCCCAGCTGCGGATGTAAGAAACACGATCATTATTATTAGCACACAAAATAACATATTTATTATGCATTAGAAGAAAAAATCTCTAGCGATGATTATAAGCGTTGTTAACTGTCCATTGCATAACATGAAAATTAGTCATACAAGGTGAGAATGTTTCTCCTTTTTGGATCAAGTCCAATTTCTGTTAGCGGGAGTTGAGGGGAAAATTAACATCGGAGGGTGCATCTTCATCGCTGTTGTTATCAATTGCTTCACATTGAAAACGGTTAGGAGACATAAACTTTTAAATATGGCTGCTTCAAATAAACTCCTCATATATAAATCTATACTTCGAACAGCATTACTCTATGCTAGTCCTGTCTGGGGCTTCCCTGCCAAAACTCGCATTCAACACATCCAAGTTCTTCAAAACAAAGCACTTAGAGAAATTATCAATACGCCACAGTTCGTATAACCATTGTAATCTTAAAGTAGACACAATTCAAAATTATACTAAAAAACTGCCAAAAATTTCTTCTATTCATTTCTCACTCATACTAAGAACTGCATCAACTCTCTTGGATGTTCTCCATATCCAATCAAGAATATGGAGAACATCCAAGAGAAAAACACTAATATCCATTTGTCATTCTCCACCCTTAACATTTTTTACTCATGCTAGACTCTTTAGTTCATTGATTTGCACCTTCCATCAGAAACTCACCTTTTTTGTCAACTCAACTGATGGCGGCCACTTTCGTCTCATTTTGTCCTTACTACTCATTTTTTTTGGCCGGTGGTCTTCACCAGATGCAGAGTAAAAGGAAGCACTGCTTTCTGAAACTCTAATTCACTGTATGTTCTTAGTAGTAATCCTTTAATTGGGGTGGAAACCTGACGGTTCTTCCACTGCATGTTGTATGGTTGAAATTGACCGCCGGCAAAATCCCTCACCGCAAGGCTCGCACTGTAGGTGTGGAT